AATTAACACATTAAATAATAATCCTCTTCAGCTGCTCCGCCTTCACAATGTGAAGGCGGAGCAGCTGAAGAGGATTATTATTTAATGTGTTAATTTTAGTCAAAGTATATGTCTGTTTCTTTCATTAAACTTTACCCAGTGTCTCAGGAAGGTGGTCAGAATAGATCCACAGCCTTCCTGGACAGTGTGGTTAACCTGTGTAGGAGGAGTGGAAACGACTGGTATCGGGTGTATTTGATCCGTAAGATCAGCAGCCAACATGGAGTGGAGTTCGTCAAGAAACTACTCAAACGGGATCAAATACGTTGGCTCTTCCCTGAAGAAGTTCAACAACAGGTTCAGTTTGATTTTCAGTGCTGGTGACTAATAAAATGCATTTTTCTGTCTGCTTGGAATTCAGCTCTATCCTGCTTCATTTTTCTCTGTACACAGAATGAAGAAGCCCCCCCAGTAGATCAATATCTTGTGTGTGGGGAAGATTACAAGACTATCAGAGAGGCTGTTGCAAAGATAGTACTGGAAGGCAAAGTGGAAGGACTGGATGAAATCTGTGAGGTAACATTATGTCACATTATATGAGCTAGAATCACACCCTGGCATTAGATTTTAAGCCATGTTTACATGATTTTTTTGTTTGTTGTTTTTCTTCATAGGGATGTAAATGCCCGCCACAGCAGAAAACCGTTTACCTTCTGTTATCGTTGTACAGAGAAATCACCACTCTCTATGGACAAGCCAATGAGAGCTTCCATCCCAAACCTGAGGTTTGGTCAATTGTTTTATTCAAACAAACTAACCCAAATTTCCAAAGTTAACAAATGTTCATTTCTTTGCAATTGCTTCTGTCAACCAACATTTTACAAAGTTATTGTACCGTTTTACTGTCAAATCTAGAAGAAAATGTTTTTGTTTTTTTTGGTTTTTTTTTTTTTTACCAACAGCATCTTGAAGCCCTGACAACTTACATCCAGTCATCCAAAGTCCTTGCTAGTGCGCAGATGAAGGCCTTCGCTCAGGCTCTAGTGACCAACCGGATGGAGTCGTTGTCTGTCCGCCCCGGAGCCTCTGGGGCCCAATGTGTGGCTGTGGAGTTACTTGTTCACTTAGCTGCTGTCCTGCTCTGTGGAAACCAGGGAATCTTGGCTCCTCTCCAGCAGATAGCATTGACACCTGCTAACATTCAGGTGTGTAGAACATCTGCAGTCAGCGATAACTACCCCTTGTTATTTGAAATTAATTTAATGCTTATTTGGTTTTGCAGGCTTCGTTCTTGCCTTCTATGTCTGAAGACATGGTAGCAGTGGCCCAAAAAGCTTTGGGTCCATTGCAGTGGTACAGTAAGTAAAAACACAAGAATTGGCTTCTTGCATATGAAAATTGTAAAAAATTTCAACCAATCAAAACATTAATTTATTCTAAACCTTGTACAGGTTGTCCAAATGGTCACCCCTACCCTATTGGCGAGGTATATTCTGTTCATTTTGTTTTGTATAAAGGTTTTTATTTCTCCATATTCTGTAGGACTATTTTTATTTTTTTTAATTTTTTTTTTACCAGTGTGGCCAGCCCATGGAAACAAGTCGATGTGTGGACTGCGGTGTTGTGATTGGAGGGAACAATCACAGAGCAGTTCAGGGATCTCAGATTCTTCCACCCCAGTACGTGGTTTCCAAAATTAATGTGAAAATATGTAAGGCTTTAGAAACTCTTCCCACAGTCCTGCAATGTTCTAACTCTTAAACCTACATCATTTTAACAACATACATATATGTAGCTACTAAATTTTACTCACCAGCTCTGCAGAACAACAGTTCGGTTCTGGTCTGACTCAGTCAGTTTTGGTAGACCTACCCTGTCGGTTCTGGTCGACTCTCTGGCTCAAGGTAGTCCCTGTGGGCTCCTTAGAGAACTCTGGACCTCCTGGCAGCGCCTCCCCGCTTGAAAGTCCTCGCGAGCAGTTCTCAGACTGGTGTCCGATTCTGGTCCGGTTCCCGGTGGGTTCCATGCAGCTCTCTGCATCCGCTGGGTGCCGAAGTCACTATGAATAAGGACCGAACTTTTTCGAATCGGATCAAAACTTTTCCTCTATGTATTTCAGCTGAAGGCAATGGTGCTTCTGGGCAGGACACTGTTGGCTTCTGGGAAATGTAGTTTTTATGAGTGAGGATACAGTGTAGGCTTATTGAGAGAAGACTACACAATGGTGGGGCCTGTCCGAATTATTATTATTGTTTTTTGTTAACTTTTTACTGTACAGTATCCCGTACTGTCCCAATCACGTAATATTAAAGTTGACAATCATGTGTCCTGTATATTTATTATTTTCTTATGTTCAATCTTACTTTGAAAAACCACGAAAGAGCGAGTCCACGAAAGTCGAACCGCGAAAGAGCGAGAGACTACTGTACTTGAATTTGTGCAAATGTCCCTTCAATTCTTATGCAAATATTTTTTTGCTTTTTGACAGAGGTGACCGCACTCAGACAGGCCACATCCTCGGTGACCCAGGACGTCGAGACAATCCAGACATGTTGGACACAAAGAGCATTTCTCCGGTTCCCTTCACCATCATTCGCATGCTCACTCACTTAGCAATGCTGATTGGAGCCTGCAACAACATACAGGTGGCTTGGACAGAATCAAACATTTCAACATAATCTTTTTAAAGCAGCAAGTTCTCAATTTGAGCTTTTATACATACCGGTACTACATATTGTTCTGCTAATATGGTCTTGTTAAGACAGAATCATTTATGACTGTTTTTTTTGTATTTCTAGTTAATCTCTGCAATTATCAAGCCTCCGGTTGCAGATCCTGTTGCATTTCTTTCTGCTCATGTGCGAAAAGATGTTGAACATCTCATCAGGTCTCTGGGTAAGGGGACTGATGACACAATCAGCACAGTTCACCTGCTAATCAGCAGCTTACTGAATCCCCTGCAGCAGCAGACATGTAAGTACCCTGCAACAAATTTATTGCCTCACTACCCTAAAATGATACAAAATTAATTTGTTGTTGAGCAAAAAAAAAAAAAATTGAAGAGGCACCACGTTACTTCATCAGAATTTTGACCCATAATAGTTTTACGTTATGCCTTCAATTTTGGTTTTGTTGCATTTTGCGTGAAAATAACACAAGAAGAAATTGTGACCTCTAGTGGCCAGGTGATACAAAACACCAAATTGCAGTTTATATTGAATTGGATTGTGAATTTTTTGCTAAGGTTGTGTGTGCTTTCCCCCCAGTTTGGTATTAAGTCTAGTCTCACTTTCTGTGGATTCTCTTTCAGGGCCTGTTCCATATGACAATTGGCTCACCACCAAAGACAGTAGAAATGGATGGGAGATTGAAATGAGCAATACCATCATTACACCTCAACTCAAGGTAGTTTAGGAATCGAGAGTGCAGTCTTCATTAACTATTTCTCTTCCACTTGTTCATAAGAGGTCTATGCACATCCTCTGTTTCTACAGCACCTGGATAGACAGCTGAGAGAAGTGAACGCGTTCATCCGGGCTGACTCTCGCATCTCTGCCAATCCGATCATGAAGCTCGTGTTCGGTGAACCTCATCTCCTCTTGGCCTCACTTCCCCCAAAATCTCTGATTCATTGTTCAGCCGTGTGGAGCTGCAGGGAGAAAGTGTCCCTGCTGAGCCTCACCCACATCGTAGAGCAGAATGATGGCAAAGACACAATGCCGGTTCTGTGGAGGTTTTTGCACAAGGTAAGAAAACGGCGTCAAACATGCAAGCTGCATTATGTTTCATAAGAAGTTTCGGTACTGACCTTATTCCTCTTTTTTTCAACAGGAAGCAGAGCTCCGACTGGTGAAACATCTTCCCGATGTTCTCACACTCCAGAAGGATCTGGTTAAGAAGTTTCAGAACAACACTGAGCTGACTTACAACACCATCGCCGAATTTCTTCACAGTCACAAAGGAGGTATATCAAGAGCATGTACCCTCATCGATCATCAATCTATTTCAACTGTATGACTCACGGATTTTTATTTTCAGAAATGGCATTGTAAAGTAGCTGGCAGCATGTAGTATGTAGAGCTGCCTGCCAGGAAATTAGTAGTTTTAGCCAGAACGAGGACAAGGATTGAGTATTCTTAAAGAAATAAAATCTCTTTCACACATGACGGCAACAGATGATAACAGCTATGTTCAAATAAGTTGTGGTCAGTCCACCCAGTGGACTTTTCTCTAACAGACATCATCACTCTAAAAAAAAAAAAATAATAACTCTGTGGTTTCTTTTTAAGTCTCACTTAAAGCCTGGTATGCGAAACACATCCGAATCTTCCTGACAACTTGGAATCAGCTCAGAGTGTCTCTGGAAACCAACGGTAAAAACAAATGCCTGTTCTGCTGCTCTGAACTGTGCAACTTTATGATCTTACATGAATTAATGTTTTTCAGGTGAGATTAAGATTCCAGCTGAGTTCTGCCAGAAGGACCTGGACCTCAGCAGTGACTTCAAGGTGCTGTTGCCACAGCGACAAGGTGCAGGCCTGTGCTCCACAGCTCTGGTCAGCTACCTAATTGCTCTGCACAATGACCTCATCTACTGCGTGGACAAGCACACTGGAGAGGAGACCAGGTGGGGGCGCTCGTGTCACATTTTTCTCATTTACAGGTTTGGCTATAAGTTCACGTCAAACCTCTCCTGCAAATGCATCATGGATGTTTTTAAGCAATATAAAACTATGGGGAAAATAAACTGGGAAAAAAGTTTGAAACAACAGTGATTCATGTTTGAGCTATTTTTACATGCATTTGTTTCACAGCTATAAAGTGAGCCCTGCAGATCTCACCGATCTGCATGTGATCCGTTACGAGCTAGAGCGGGACATGATGCCCCTGGTTCTGTCCAATACCCAGTACAGCATCGAGAGGGGCCAGGAGACTCTTCATGAGTATGATTTGCCCAAGATCCAGCAGCAGATCATGTCTCGTTTCCTGCTGGGCAAACCTCTCATCACCCTCAATGTGAGGACGCAATAAAAAAAAAAGCACAATCAGTGCATCGCTGAGCAAAATAGTTAAAACACTTTTACCTTCTTTCACGTCCTGCAGGGCATTCCAACACTAGTGAACAGACACGACCGCAACTATGAGATCATCTTTAAGGATGTAAAGGCAAAAGTCGAACAAGTAAGGGTTGATTTCATAATAATTTTCGCACACTTCACTTACAATAAAACTCTTTTAATGGTTGTTTGTCTGTGAGCAGGAGCCTCTCCAGACTCTCACCCTCTTCTCTGTGGCTGGAGAGCTGCACTCCTACAGCGAGGTGTGTGAAGCTTTGTCCACACTGGAGATGGCTCTTGGCTTCCTCGCCATGACTGGGGGCGAGCCTCACATGCAGCTGTCCACCTACCTGGAGGAGGTGCTGCAGATGGGAAACCAGATGGCTCATCATATTGTCAAGGTCAGCCTATCTGAGGCACCGGTTACAGGATCCTGCTACATGTTCTCTGTCCTGCCAAACGATCTGTCTGGTTACATTTTAGACGCACAAAAAGTTTCCTCTGACTGCAACTTTTTAGTCAGTTAACTGTAAGACTATTGTGTCTAATCATAATTTACAGAGTTTTAATTGTTTGGTTTGCTTTATGTGCCTAGCGTGAGATAACGGGTTTCCTGTTTCGCCCACAGGCCTTTAGCATGTGTTGTCTGAAGCACTGTGTGGCTCTATGGCAGCTGCTGGCCTCACTCAAATCAGAAAATATGCTGCGGCTCAAAAAGGTAAGTCGTCACTCACCTGTAAACAGATCCAGAAGGGAAAATGGTGTCTTATTATTTGTTATAGTGGTAAGAGCAATGGATTTGTGATTTGTTATTTTGCTAATTCTGTTTTCTGGGTTTGTTAGGATCCATTTGTGGGAGTTTCAGAGAAATACAAAGAAGCCCTGGGGGAGGACGAGCACAGGCTTCTGATTGGTTTCTTCTCTAAGAGCAGCGCTGACAGTTTCCTGTTGGAGATGCACGAGTTCCTGGTGTTGGTCCTGAAAAAACCCAACGCTCCTGATACTTACAGGCCTCACTGGGGGTAAAAAGGAAGCTTATGAGATTTTTTGTTGTTGTTGTTGTTGCTGTTTTTTATTTCCTTATCTCTCATTCACACAAATGTTTAGGCCTTAAGCATGAGAAAAATGAGGGAATGCTTCAAATGATGTTTGTGTCTGAGGAATTACAATGGGAAAAATTATAATTGGAAGCCTACACACAATAAATATTTTGCTGCATTTTAGTCGAGCATGTTTCAGACTTGTCACATAAGACAACAAAATTAACTGAAGCATGATAATCTGATTTATGACACTTGTTTTGTTTGATAATTAAAAATTTCTATTTCAATTCAGTTTATTTATTTAGCGCCAAGTCACAACAGAATTCATCTCGGGGCACTGAACAGAAACATTCACATACATAAAAAAGCCAATTAGTAAAGTTATTTACCTAAGAAGTCAGCAGATTGTGCTGAATCTTCACTTTGTCATGGTCTCCCATCCTGAACAAGCACATTGGCAACAGTGGAAAGGAAAAACTCCCTTTTAACAGGAAGAAACCTCCAGCAGAACCGGCTCAAGATGTGCGGCCATCTGCTTCAACTGGACAGGACGGAGAAACAAAAACAGAATGACAGGTCCAGGTGTACTTTCTATTGGAAGAAAAAAAACATATTAAGGATAGAAATAATTACAAATACAAACAGAGTAGAGTAGAACAAGTAAAGACGGCAGCAGAGTGAGGAAATGTCGTCAGTTTGTCCTTCAGCAGTCTAAGCCTATAGCAGCATAACTAAGGGATAGCTCAGAAAACCCAAGCCAACCCTAACTATAGGATTTATCAAAAAGTTGTTCATGCTTCATTTATAAAGAAGTTGGTTCCACAAGAGAGGAGGCTGATAACTGAAAACTGCCTCTCATTCTGTTTTTGGAAACTCTAGGAACCACAAGTAAACCTGCAGTCTGAGAGTGAGGTGCTCTGTTAGGAAAATATGGAACAAGAAATTCTGTAATATAAGATGGAGCTAGGTTGTTGAGAGCTTTGTAGGTTAGAAGTAATATTTTGAATTCTAGTCTGAAATTGACGGAGCCAATGGAGAGAAGCTAAAACTGGAGACTAGGGGTGCACCCATAAATCGGGGTCAATAAATCTGCCCCGATTTCCTTAATTTTGGGAAATCGGCCCATACTTGCATGAGAAACTGATTTTTTACTTCATTTATATCTCAGAGCACTATCTCATGGCCAGTTAAAACAAGTTTGTATTGTTTCTAGGATGTTGTTCAAGGGCATGTTTTTCACAAAATTATATTGGAAAACTGATGGTGCATTGTGACCTTGTAACACCTGACAGTGTTGCTTATAAAACATAATCGATATCAGCCAAAATCTGAATCGGCAGGTCAGACTTTTTAGAAATCTGTGATCGGCCAGAAAACTGCAACCGGTGCACCCCTACTGGAGACATATGATCTCTCCTACTGGCTCCAGTTTTTGGACAAGATGTTTCTAATTTTAGTGATGTCACGCAGGTGGAAGAAGGCGGTTCTAGTAACCTTTTTTTAATGTAGGGAAATGTTCTTATCTAAAAGAAATCCAGCAGGATGTAGTTGAATAGACTGAAACTTTAACCTTTTATTTTTTACCATATTTTGTTACGGTTTCTATTATTATAACTAAGGGGATTTAGTAAAACAAATTTTCATCGTTTTGCCTAGATATGTGTTTAGCATTCCACATGATTCAGTCAAGATGAACATTAATCCCATGCATTGTTACTGGGTCTGAAGAAGATACTTTAGTTGGCACAACATTTTCTACAATTCGTTGTTTAGTTTGTCACTGCACAGGGTTGTCAATAACGCATACAAACTGCTGTCTTTTGCAAATAGCTTTAAGTTGATTTTAGATTGAGTTCAAAGAGAAATACTACTTGTGAACTAACGACACGGTTCTCAGACTAATCCTGCGTTTAGTTTTATTTGCATAAAGTTTCAACGTTTTTGTTTTGTCTCTCTTAAAGCTTGAAAGAAACGCTGGTGCCTTACATGGAGCATAAAGGCATGGACGTACCCCCAGATGTGGAGGAGCTCTTCCCAGAGAAGATCTTCCTGTCCCATTGCATCGAAGCCTGGAAGTTTATCGTCATGTTTAAACTGGAGCGTGCTCAGAGACAATGAAAACATTTTTTGCTGCCATCTTTAGATTTGATTTAGTAACTTGAGTTTACATTTACAACCTGAAATGACAGTATTGATAAGTCATATCTTTGCACATATTTAAGATGAAAAATGTGCCTTTTTGAAGAGCACTGTTCAGTGCCAAAATATACACCTGGGGTTTATCTCTGACAATGTGACATTGTGTATAGTTGAAGTCTTCTTGCCTGAACTTAACCTTTTTTATTCAGTGTTATTAAAAAAAACTATATATTCACTCAGGTATACTGTATGTGGGGTAGATCTCAGGACATAAACTGAATAGATCTTAAAATTAGAATAATGTCTTTGAGCTGTTGTGATTATTTTTTATCATTGTTCCGTTTTCGAAAGCTGCTGTGTCATCTTTTTGTACGGTAATTGTTGAGCACTGATTGCAGATTTGCTGATTTTACATTCCAATTTTTAGTTTGTATTTACTTTTCCTTTTTGCACTTTTTCTTTTTTTGTTTGTCCAGTTGGGGACAGAAATGAAGCGTCTTTCTCCTCATCTTGATTGCACCTCAGCCCCAGTTTGCTTTATTATATATCAGCATCATAGTAGAAGAAATATTTCATTTATTGTTTCAGTTTTTCCTGACTTGAAATTAGTACCGGATCATTTTTTTTTTTGTGTGTGGGGGATTTTGTTGCTTAATCTTAAGGAAAAGATTTGTTATTTGCTCAAGATAAAATGATCATGACAACTTTTTTTTTACAACAGCTATTTAGCAAATATCTCAATGTAGAATTTATTTGGACATTTTTAAAGTTGTGGTTACATATCTTCAGATTTAAAAAAAAATTATGCCTGTTTCGTGATAAGCAAAGCAATTTAATATCATATCTGAATGTGAATAAACGTGACTTGACTGGGCGCTTTCCATTAGAATAAAAAAATACATTGTTTGCTAGTACTAAATCCAACACAAGATAAATATGAGGCCGTGCTTGAGAAATGTTGGCCCGCTAAAGGATTTTGTGACTTTTTGACCCTCTGCTGGTGGGAGCTCAATGTGTTTCGGATCAGGCTGATGGAAATGATAAGGACAAGAATGCTGCTGAACAGCTCCTTGATTCAATTTCCTCCAGGCCAAAGTGGTGTTTAGCATAACAATGACAAATGGAAGCCTTTGCTTGTGAAAGTAAACTGTGGCAGTGACCACCCTCTGGGAGTCTGTCTGCAATCTGGATTTGTACCTTTTCGTTTAAAAGAAAAAAAAAGTTTACTTATTTACAATCCCAGTTCTGAAAAGGTTGGAACATTGTGTAGAAGCTAAATAAAAGGGAATACAATAATTTGAAACTTCTGTTGTTTTTTTTGGCTTTTCCCTCTTCAGGTTGTTCTAGCGACTCATCCTCCATCTTTGTCCTCCTTATCCTCTGTCTTCACTCCAACTACCTCCATGTCCTCTTTAACTACATCCATATATCTCTTCTTTGGCCTTCCTCTGCCTTTTTCCTGACAGCTGCATTTCTAACATCCTTCTACCAATATACCTGCTGTCCCTCCTCTGGACATGTCCAAACCATCTCAGTCTGGTCTCTTAACTTTATCTCCCAGTTGTTCAAATTGTGCTGTACCTCTGACGATCTTATTCCAATCTTATCCATCCTTGGCACACCTAAGGAGAACCTCAACATCTTCATTTTGGCCACTTCCAGTTCTTTCTCCTGCCCTTTTGTCAGTGTCACTATCCCTAAACCATACAACATAACTGGTTTCACCATTGTCTTTCATTTGACCTTTGCTGCCATCGTTTTGTCGAAAAACAAGCCTGAACCGTTTTTCCATCCACTCCATCCTGCCTGGACACTCTTTCACCTCTACCACATTTGCCATTTTCCTGGACAGTGGACCCCAACTACCTGATGTCCTGCACTTTTGTGACCTGTGCTCCTTGTAGCCTCACTGTTCCACCGGCCTCTCCCTCATTCACACACATGTACACTCTGTTACTACGGCTGACTTTTATTCCTCTTCTTTCAAGTGCATACCTCCACCTCTCCAAGTTCTCTTCCATCTGTTCTCGCAGCAGATCACAATGTCATCTGCAAACAGTTCATGGGGGATCCTGGCTGACCTCATCTGTTAGTAAATGCTATGTACAGCTGTACTCTCCCATCTTCTTTGTTGGATTTCTTGTTTATGATGTGCCAAAGGTTTTCAGTAGGTAAGAGGTCTAATCTGCAGGCAGGTCAGTTCAGCAACCAGACTTTTCCTATGAAGCCATGTTGTAATGGAGGCAGTTTGTGGTGTAATATTGTCTTGTAATATGCAAGCCTGCCTTGAAAAATACGTCTAGATTGGAGCCTATGTTGTTCTAAAACTTATATATATATATACTGTGCTTTTCTATTTCCATGGTGCCTTTTCAGTGTATGCTGCCCGTGCCAGAGATACTAATGCACCCCTATACTGTCAGAGAAGCAGTTTTTTTTTTTTAACTGCGAGCTGATAACAGGCTGGGTGTTGGTCTTCGCTTTTGTAGGGAGTGTCCATGGTTTTCAAAAGCATATTAAAAATTAGGATTTGTTCGACCACAGAACAGTTTTGCGCTTTGTCTCAGTCCAGTTTAAATCAGGTTTTGGCTCAGAGGAAACGGCAGTGGTTTTGAATGTTGTTCACATATAGCTTCTCCTTGCATGATAGAGCTTTAACCAGCTTTTGTGAATGGCACAGTGCACCGAGTTTACGATTATTTGTATGAGTTCCTGAGCTCATGCAGAAATATCCACAGTTACCACTGAACTTGATATGCATATGTTTTAGTCAGTCGGAAGAAACCAAAGTACTAAAAACATAGAAATAAAAACATGCTTGCAGAAAAAGAAGAACCAGACTACACAGAAAGGCCCAGGCCAGGAGGCAATTCTGCATCCTTCTTGCTGTGACGTGATAGCTCCTGGGTCACTGGCATGATTTACGCAACCCCATTTTGCAGAACAAGCTTCAGCGAGCAAGTTCAATCAGTTCACTTCCACTTCTGTAAGTTTGAAAGCCAACATGCCTGTAGTACAAAGAGAGGAACACAAACAGGTCAAATTATTTTCCAGCTCTTTGCTTATTTGTCTTTGTTTTTTGATGAGCAGGAATTAGAGAACAAAATTGGCAGACGTTCTTAGCTGCACACTTTGGATCAGGCCATGGGCATTTTTCAGAGGTGGACGGACAGCATTCAGTGTCATGACTGAGTGCTTCCATAACTTCCATTGCAATGTTGATAATATCGAACAATTTCGTCAAATCATTTAAAATGTTCCTTTCTAAAACTGCACTTCTATGAACATTTTTATTTTCAAACATGAAAATAACATGAAATGTTTATGCAATCACTGCTTCAACAGGATCCACCCTTAGCAAAGTACATTGACTGGGAAAAAACATGAGGAATTTGACCCCTTTTTAGTTTTTTCCCATTTATTTGGAATTTGATGGTTTAAATATTTCTTGGTTTTATGTTTCCTTTGATTGCAAATTCTTTCTGCATCTGATTGCCCTGCTGCAAATTGTTGCATCAAAGTAAATAATGTCACAAAACTGCCATTGCTTTAGACAAAATCATCTGATTGTAGAGAAATGACTAAGTTGTGGCCTTTTACGTCAAACTTTGATTAACGTTATGCAAAGTGTCACATGCTGTGAATGACTCTAAGCGACTCGGAGTTGAGCTCTTTATCTTTACCTCTTTATTTTGTGTTGGTTGTGTTAATTAAATGTGGCAGCCATCTTTAATTTGATTTTTTTTCCATTCAAATTTCAGTTAAAGAGTTACATCCAATGATTTCTTTGTTTTATAAAAAAAATATATATATATATGTCCAGTGGTCCACAAGATTCCGTTCGTTTTGTTTTCCTGAAGTGGCTCGTCGCCGTTTTTACTCGTTATTTTTTGTTTCGCAGATCCAAAATCTTCATTCGTTTCCCAAAAACGCTCTTCTCGACTGAGGATGCCCTTGAAGCAAAAAAGTCCGAAATCGGTAAGTAGTCGTGTTCAAAATGTGACATTAACGATGATCTTTGTTGACTCCTCGTTATTTCAGGGTGTCAGAAGAGGTCATGATTCTTTTAATTGTTAATAGTGAATATTGTCTTGCTGCAATCAACACCAGTTTTCATTCCACCTTTATTTATGCAGGTTAATCCTGTTGAGCCTCGGGGACTCGTTTACAAGAGAGGCCTGAATATTAAAGATATTTTGGTTTCAGATAGACACGTGAACACATGCACGGCCCATAACACATTTTAAACCCTTAGAAATGTTACATCCTGCTCAGCATTATGAAAGCAATCCCACCTGAGGTAATCTCTTGCATCCATTAACGTCTCTGAGGAACTCTGCCAACTTCGGTCATGAATCTCTTCGGTGCTTTGAGCTGCAGAGGAGATTCAAGCTTAACCCTTTCCAAAACAGCCTCAGATATCCATCAGGTTTACACCTTGTGGATCCAGTAACAGCCACAGGCTTTGACACCAGGCAGGCGCTCGCAGTCAAAAAGGAACAAAGAATTTAATGACTGCTATGAAATCAGTACCTCAAAACACCCCGGAGACCCCGGAAAGCACAACAACAGGCTACTGTATTTTCTATGGGGCTTTATGCCTTACTGGCGGTCTGCGGAAATGTTTTCTTTAAATTAGCCCTTCAGGGTGCTGCTGTTATTGCATTATTATCAAATTAGTGTATTTTAATTACTACGTCATATGAAATGTATGTGCCGGTAGGTCACAATGGGGTGAGAGCTCACGAGGCCATGTTGAAACTCTCGTGTTGCCCGTGGCCTGCTGTGCAATGTAAAAATATGAAGAACAGAGAGGTAGAAAAGCCTCAGTGAGCACATCTGTGAATTATATTAGCTAATTGTGTGCACTTCTACTTGCACTCAACACTTGAGTTGTTCTCCAAGCAGAAGGAAGAAATTAGGAGGACTGCTGCCATGTTGTTCTATTAAATATGTGAAGAGAAAATACAATTACTGGCTAAGTGGGAACATACCACATGGGATTATGAGCGGCACAGCATTTTTTTGAGCATTCAATTTTAAACTCCGTGCCCAAGT